TCACCAGAGCAGCTCCCAGGTAAAAGAGAAGTCTCTGAAGACGGATTTCGATGGGGTTGAAAAATTAACTAAAATGGTGCTGCGTCTTACAAAGCAAGATATTGACTTCATTATATGGATTTGCTACCATTCGTATAATATTGTTTGATGTTTTATAAAAGTGTAACGGCCTTAAAGTTGCAGCATTTAATAAACAAATGTACTGTTCAAGAACAGGGCATTATCATGTAGTGATTATAAGAGCATTTCACGTGGTAGTGTAACAACAAAATTAATTATTATCTTCTCTAGAAAACAGAAAGTGAATCTCTGGGTGACTAATCACATGCATGCCTGTGGAAATCTCCTGTTTATACAAAATGGTGAAATAATCAATTTTTCCCTCAACAACTCCTGTACAATACCTCACGTAATTGACATTAATTATGTAAGAGACTTGATTATCCATAGGTTACTGAACCACAAGAGCATCGCTGGAATGCCAAATTCAGTTTTCATCCATTCCATCTTTAGGAACAATGATTGGTTAGCAATCAAATGTGTGAAACCTGTGTAACTTTCCTTTTCCTAATCCAGGGTGCTGGGTCCTACCTCAAATGAAAACAGTTAATGCACTCCAAACTAAGGACTAAAACAGATATTCTATGAGTAGAATGCCAGTCTATATGGCCAAGCCACCCAGAATAAATTCATTGAGCCAACAGGGAAGCCAAGTATATGAACCTATGAAAAATTATACCTATTTAAATTAAACAATTGCTCCCCAGTGGCGTAGCCAGTAAAAATAACACCTGATGCAGTACTAAGCCAGAAGGTCACTGGTGCGAATTCCAAACTTTGTTGAATTAGCTGATCTCATCTGGAGCTGCAATTGGTGTTGCACAAATGTCTTTAGTATCCTCTGGGATTAGAAGACTGAATAAAATAAGCAAAGTTCTCACTCCTGATTTTTATCCAGCGTGCGTGTGTAATCTTTGTGTAAGGCTAAGATTGGACTTGGCTGCGATGCCCTCCATTGCTAAGCACCCAGTTGGCAACTCACTATCTAGTGCTCAAACATGAAAAATTCCCATTTAGGCAATGTACCAAAAAATTGGTCAATTAAATGGTCAGTGCCTTCAGTTGTGAAAATTATGCAAAAAAAAAGCATTGTAGTGGTGAATGAACTTAGGAAATGTTATGTACAAATTTCTATATTTAATAATTCTAAGAAGTTAAATGCACATATTAATCAAATGATTATTATTTGCAGATTTATCCATTCTGACAGTTGTCAGACCCATTGCTTCAAATACCCATACACTGTGCTGAAGACTACATTTGCAAAAGACCAAAGAAGTCTATTTACTGCTCTTTTTGAAATCCAGCAAGTCATATTACACTACATAAATTTATAATAGTCACATTATCCACAATCATTATGACAATGGATTTTTTTATAATTGCCAATCTACTGCTGATGCACCTCCTGTACTGAAGAGGAATTATCTTTCATAGCCAGAATCTGCAAACAATAACATTGCATTCACAAAAATAACATGATCAAGGGTACACTTTCCAATAGTGGAGTTCTGCAGAATTTACCAATTTATTTTTCTGTATGAAAGTACCAATCATTATACTATTTGGAATCATGGTGGACATTACATAAAATTTCCGATTAGATCACAACCAAATCCAAAATACATAATATTGTCATTTGTAGCATTTGCTAGCAGTATTAAAATAAATAACTAGTAATTCTCCATCGTGTTTATACTTGTGAGTAATTACATTTTCTGAAATTTAAACAGTCTAGCTTTTTAAAAAAAACTACTGACAATGTAGTGGCGTTTTTTTTTAAGTTGTTGGTCCTGATTTCTCCTTTTTAAAAAAAATCAATAAAAATATTTGTGTTTTGTAATACTAGGAACATGGATACAAAATAAGGTTTCTTTGAAACAACCATATATAATGAATTTTAGATGTAAAGAATGCATCTTTCCAATACTGACATGATAGTAAGAAGCAGTCTGCAAGATTAGCAAAAAAAATTACTAGCTGGGAAGGATGGTGGAATAAAAGAATATGCTACATATTTCTTCAGTGTCAATGAAATTTAAACAAGCTCCATGACAAATGGCTGTTCAAAATTATGGGCAATTATAGCCATAACCAATCCACAAACAAAATTTGAGATGATAATCCCATGAAATAGTTGTTCATCATTTCACCATAGACACGAATGTTAATAATAACCTTTGCATTTGGTTTAGTGCCGCATCACGTCATCAAAACGTTTCAAAGCACTTCATAGAATTTACTACAAAGTGTTGTGACTTTGTGTAGGCAAATATTGACCTCTCCTATAACAACAACAACAACAAGATTCCATTTATTGAGCGCCTTTCACGTCGGGAGGACGTCCCAAGGCGCTGTACAGTTGGGTCAGGACCCGAGCAGGGGGGAAATGGTCAGGGTGAGGGGAGGGAAGGGAGGGAGCGAGGAGGGAGTAGAGAGTCGAGAGGGGAGCTGAAGGCACGGTCAAAGAGAAAGGTCTTGAGACTGGCCTTGAAGGAGGAAAGGGAGGAAGCGGTGAAGGCACTGGGGGATGGAGTTCCAGAGCCTAGGGGCTGAGAGGCTGAAGGCCCGGCCACCGATGGTAGGGCGGTTGGGGCGGGGGATGTGGAGCAGACCGGAGCCAGAGGAACGGAGGGTACGGGCAGGTAGGTAGGGGAATAGTAGGTCAGAGAGGTAGGAGGGAGCAATGCCATGAATGGCCTTGTAGGTGAGGATGAGGATCTTGAATTCGATCCTCTGGGGGATGGGGAGCCAGTGGAGGCGAGCGAGGGTGGGAGTGATGTGTTCCCGAAGCCTGGTGCGGGACAGTACACGAGCTGCAGAGTTCTGAATGACCTGCAGCTTGTGGAGGGAGGTGCCGGGAAGGCCGGCGAGGAGAGAGTTCCCATAGTCCAGCCTTGAGGTGATAAAGGCGTGGACCAGAGTTTCAGCAGCGTGAGGGGTGAGGTAGTGCCGTAGTCTGGCGATGTTTCGGAGATGATGGAAGGCGGTGCCAGTTGTGGCGCGGATATGAGGGAGAAAGGACAGTTCAGGGTCGAACAGAACCCCGAGGTTCCTGACCGGCTTTGAGAGGTAGAGAGTGCAGCCTTGGATGCTGATGCTGTCAGCGCCTGAGGTGCGGAGGCGCTGACGCGAGTCAATCAGGAGGGCCTCAGTTTTGCGCACGTTGAGCTGGAGAAAGTTATCTCTCGTCCAGGACTCGATGTCGGACAGGCAGCTGTCAGGACAGCAGTGCTCCTGGAGTTGAGGGTGGAGGCAGAAAGGTAGAGTTGGGTGTCATCTGCATACATGTGGAAGTTAACCCCATGTCTGTGGATGATGTCACCAAGGGGGAGCATGTAGAGGGTGAAGAGGAGGGGACCGAGGACAGAGCCTTGAGGGACACCGCACGAGACAGTACCTAAAATAAAGCTGAAATATAAATGAAGTCATTTTCTTCTAATTTCACCATACCATTAAGTGTGAAATAAATATATAATGCCATATCACATGGTAGAAACGTCTCTAAGCACTTCACAGGACATAAACTGTAAAGTGGATTGATTGTGGGTGAATTAACTGTCAGAAATTGAGATTCTATATGATGGTTACATTCTGCGAAATGTTTTTAAAATGCAAAAAACCTGCAATGGAAGTGCATTATTTATTTTGTCATAATAAAAAAATCACTTCTCTTATGGCTGAAATAAACATACTCCATTTTATGCAATTATCCAATGGCACTTTTGAAAGAGAAGGGAGTTTCTCCATGTATCCTGGCCAACAACCTCCCAGATTAAAAATAATTGGTTGTTCATTGCTGTTTGTGAGATCGCTGTGCACAAACCGGCTGCCGCATTTACTTACAAATTAGTCACTACACTTTGCAGGCTCTTTGAGATGTGAAAAGTGCTATTCAAATGCAAAGATTGTTATTGTATAATTAAGTGGGCAAATGCATTTTGTTTTATGGAGGCTTCAATATAGCAGGTTGGAAACTAAATTGAGAACACAAGATAGATGGTAATTTTGATCCAATGTGACCACTTCACAGTGTCCAAAACTGGAGAATCATTACAGGCAGATTTGCTGTAAGGAAACTGAGTTGCTTCTTTGTATTGTTTGTGTGAATTGATTGCAAACCACAACAGCAGTAAAGGAAGAGGGATAAAAAGGTAGCAAATACTCCACCCCCTAAACTGCAGTTGATCTAAACTGAATCAGATTATCATTCTGCAGTACAACCTGTGATTGCTCAATCACACAAAAAAAACCTACGTGTGGATAAGCTCTGTGCCAGACTGGATTCATTCAAATAACATTTAGACAGTATGAAGGGATTTCTTGAATGGTTCAGTTCCTATCTCTCAGATCGGCTCCACTTTGTCTCCACAAACGGTTTCTCCTCCAGCTACCGGCTTCTCCTTCTCGTCCTCACCTTCAAGGCCCTCCATGGCCTTGCACCCTCCTTATCTCTCCAACCTGCATTTATCAGCCTGCTCCAAGTTCCCCGCCTGGCCCACCCCACTATCGATGGTAGGGCCTTCTGTCTCTCTGACATCCCCTCTGGACTCCACCTTACATTCCCTTTGCCTCGCTCCCTCCCTTGCCTCCTTCAAGGCACGCCTCAAGATCCTCCTCTTCGATTGTGCCTTCGGCCAACTTCCTACCTTCTCAGCCCACCATCCCACCCTCCCCACCCCGATCGGATCCTAATCCTGGACTGTTCAAGATCTTGGGACGTCCTCCTGATGTGAAAGGCACTTTACAAATGAAATTCTGTATTGTATGAAACAGCAGGTAAACATATTTGGATGAATCTACATTCCCAAAGAATGCAGTGAAAACATTTCAGATTCATTGCATGGAAAAGAAAGCAATCATAATTGGTACACAAACAAAAATATTGAATATTACAAACCTGTTTGCAAGCAGTTTTTTTTTAAAAAACAAAAGGATACATTCGTAGAGCCCCTGTTCGGGTTCCAATAGCCAGGATTTTTTGCACTGGATCAAAAGTCAAGGCTGTTGGTTGATAGGGAAAACCATGTCTCACAGTCTGTAAAAACAAAAATAATTAAAATACTTTAGATTAGGAAATGAAAATATTAGGATTTACCATATAAATAGTTTTTACAAGGAAAAAAATCAGATTACACTGGGGAAAAATTCTTAGCTATCATCGACTTGTATTTGTATTTAAATCTGTAAAATCTGATGCAATAAAAAAATCACATTTAAAAGACATATGAAGCCACACTTCACCTTTTTTTTAAATTCAACTCATCATTGACCTTACTTCCAATCTTGTAGTTTTCAATCTGATAAGAAAGGATGGTGTTTTAATACTAACAAAAATGTTATTAAATCCAGGACCTGGGAATGCAATGCAAGATTTTACAGGGTCCAGATTAAATCCCACCCATCAAAGCAAGATGGCTTCTCCCCAAACAGAGACCGAGGAGCAAAATGCAGCTTCACCTGAGGATATCAACCCAGTGGACTCTGTTACCATCCAAAGAACTACACCAAAAAAAAAGCTATGATGGAACTGTGTCTGAGCCAGCCCTCTAACCCTCATCACATATGTATATTAACTGCTTACCTGAACTCCCAACGTTCAATTATATTTTTCTACATTCTTACTCTCCCCACTACCACTGCCCCCTTATTCTTTCATTTTCTTCAAGTTTAACTTTACTTGATTGGCTTTTGCCTACACACCAATATTCTAGATTTATAATTTGTTTTAAAACGTATTTCCAGATTATTCNTTTTTCATTGCATTGTTAATTTCAGGTGCATTTTGTTTCAGGTGGACGTAGAGGGACCACCCTGCCATTATTATTTCAAGGAAATAGTTTTCATTCAATTTCTCATCTCAAATTTACATTTCATTGTTGCTAAAGGGACACTGTTTGTAAGGATTAGATGTCACATTTTTCTTTGAAACATTCACTTAATTTCTAATATATTCTTATGTAGCTTTGAAGCAGTTATTTTTATGTGAAAGGTGCAACATAAATTCAAGTTCAGAAATCAAGAACGCAAATCATCAACGACATCACAACAAATTTTATTTATGTAGCATCTTTCACATCAGGAGGAAGTCCTAAGGTACTGGAGAGTGAAGGGTTTGTACCCAAGTTGGGAGTTGGAATCAAGAAGGGAAAGGGGGCAAAGAGGTGGGGGTGAGAGGGTAACTGAAGACACAGTCAAAGAGGAAAGTCTTGAAACAAGCCTTGAAGGAGGTAAGAGAGGTGACGAGGTGAAGGGACTCAAGGATTGAGTTTCCAGAGGGTGGGGGAAGAAAGGATAAAGGCCCAACCAACCAATGGTGGGACTGGCAGGGTGGGGATATGGAATATTTCAATGCCTGCCGAGCGGAGGAAGTAGTTGCAGTTGGTCGGAGAGATAGAGAGGAGCAAGACTGTGGAGGGCTTTCAAAGTGACGACGAGGATCTTAAGCCCGATCTTCTGTATGATGAGGAGCCAGAGAAGCTGGGTGAGGATGGGGGTGAACAGCTCATGGAGTTTAGTGCGGGATAGGACACAGGCTGCAGAGTTCTGAATAATCTGCAGCTTTGGGAGGGAAGAATGGGAAGTCTGGTGAGCAGGAAGTTAGCATAGTCAAGCCTGGATGTAAGGAAAGCACGGATGAGGGACTCGGTGGCCTGAGGAAAGAGGTAGTAGTGGAGGCAGGCAATGCTGGGGAAATGGGGAAAGCCAAACAGGTTATGGCATGGATCTAGAGCTCAGAGGACAGTTGAGGGTCGAACAAGACGCCAGGGTTCCGTACTCCCTCAGTGAGGTGCAGAGTGCATCCATGAATAGTGATGCTGTCAGAGCCTGAGGTGAGGAGGTTCTGACGAGAGCCAAGCAAAATACACAATCAATCCACTTTACAATATATTCTGTGAAGTACTTTGAGACTTTAACAATGTGATAAGGTACTACATCAAATGCAAGGATTATTATTAAGCAGGAGAGCCTCCGTCTTGTCAACATTCAACTGGAGAAAGTTGGCTCTCATCCAAAGCTTCATGTCTGACAACAACAACATTTATATAGCACCTTTCAAGTTAGGAGGACGTCCCAAGGCACTGGACAGTCAGAGTTTGGACCCGAACTGGGGTCAGAATTGGGTAAGGTGGAGGGTGGAGGTGGGGGGGAGAAGCAGGGTGATCGAAAGCACGGAAGTGGAGGATCTTGAGATGGGTCTTGAAGGAGGCAAGGGAGGGAGCGAGGTGGAGGGACTGCGGGATGAAATTCCAGATGATGGGGGCAGAGTGACGGAAGGCCCACCTGGGACGAGGCAGGGGACGTGAAGGCTGGAGCCTGCTGAGCAGAGGGAGCGGGCAGGATGGTAGGGGATTAGGTCGCAGAGGTAGGGGCGAGCAAGTCCATGGAGGGCTTTGAAGGCGAAGATCAGGATCTTGAACTGTATCCTCTGTGTGATAAGAAGCCAGTGGAGTCGGGCGAGGATGGGGGTGATAGGGACACGGAGCCTGGTGCGGGAGAGGATACGGGCTGCAGAGCTCTGGATGATCTGCAGCCTATGGAGGGAGGAGATGGGGAGGCCGACAAGTAAGGAATTTGCATAGTCAAGCCTGGTCGTTATGAATGTGTGTATGAAGATCTCGGTGGCCTGCAGTGTGAGACAGTAACTGAGCAATGAGATGTTGCGGACGTGGGCAAAGGCAGTGTAGGTGATGACATGGATGTGGGGTAGAAAGGATAGTTGAGGGTCAAACAAAATACCAAAGTTTCGGACTGGCTCAGTGAGGTGCAATGAGCATCCTTGGATGGTGATGCTGTCAGTGTCTGAGGTGTGGAGGTGCTGACAGGAGCCATTCAGTATGGCCTCGGTCTTGTTGACATTCAATTGTAGAAAGTTAGTTCTCATCCAGGACTTGATGTCTAACAGGCATTCTGTCAAGACAGCAGTGGTCCTGGAGTTGAAGGTGGAGCTAGAGAGATAGAATTGGGTGTCATCCGCATACATGTGGAAGTTGACCCCATGTCTGCTGATGATGTTACCAAAAGGGAGCATATAGATATTGAAGAGGAGGAGAATAAGGACAGAGCCCTGAGGAATTCTGCATGAGATGATGCGGGGCTAGAGGGGAAACCGTTTGTGGACATGAAGATGAAGTGGAGACAGTATGAGAGGTAGGACCTGAACCATTCAAGGATAGAACCATGAAGGTTGAGATGAGAAGAGTGGCGGTGGAGGAGGATAGAGTGATCAACAGTATCGAAGGCAGCAAAAAGATCAAGGAGGACGAGGAGGCAGAGGGAGCCCTGGTCGCAGATGAACAAAATGCCATTTGTCACTTCTACAGAGCTGTTTCTGTGCTGTGGGCAGCACGGAAACCCAAATGGAGGAGTTTGTGAAGGGAGTGGCGGGAGAGGAAGAAACAAAGCAACGACTCATTTCAGGGCTTTGGAAAGTAAAGGGAGTATTTTACTAGAGAGGGAGCGGACATTTTGTAGGTCGAAGCGGAGGGGACAGTTGGTGGTGGAATGTGGGGGGCGAGGAGGCCACCGCATGTGATGATTGAGGACTGGAGAAGAAGCCGTAAATGGATATAAACTGGAGAAAATGAGATTTTAAGATAATGCTGATGCAGTGTAAACATTTTCATCTGCTGCATATTAACACAAAACAAGTTACGAATTGTGTTTAAGGGAAACATAATCCTGTAATTTCATTTTTGTAAGTTTTTATAATAAGACATTGCAATCCAACTTTAAAGTAACTAATCGTGTAAACGATAGATATTTGACATGAACCGATGCTATATTGAATGCAAGTATTTTTATTTATTATAGTTCAATCAATAGCACAAGTTCTGAAATCGTACCTTATGACCCCAATGTACAGTACTTTCAAGTTCTACATTATAAAAATGACAGTTCCTTTTGGCCTATATCACATGTTGCTGCTTTCATCTTTAAATGGAAACAGAAATTATCCAACGCACGCTATATAATAAACAATTCTAAGTGAATTTGACGCACTAATCTAATCAAGAGGTTTAAAGGACATTCATAAACCACTCGAGCTTTAGATAACCGCTTAGGATTCCTACTAACCCTCTTGATTGGATTACTGGCTTGTAATTCATTGAGGGGTATCCAACATCCTCCACACAATATTTCCACCAAAGCTAATGAACGACCTGATATCTCACTGTAAAAACAGATTTTTTTTATTGCTCCTCGGACTACTAATCACTCTGGCAATGTACGATTGCCTCATTATAAAAGATGGAAATATGTACCCACAAGGATCTGCAGCAGCTCAGAAAAACAATAAGTTATCAGGAATTTACAGCTTCAATGAAAATATGTGGACAGGGACTTAATGAGTTTTACAATCAGCATCCCTTTTTAAAAATAAACCTGTTAGCATGAATAATAATTTACATCCGTTGTTATTTCCGTCAACCTCCCTGTTGATTTATTTTGAGTATTCTTGATCATATAATTGGAAGAATTACTGAGTCAGATATTGTGACAAAATTATTTAATAACAGCTGCAGTATTAACCTCGGGTGTTTCAGCAATCATGTAATTTCAGCTGCAGATGGTAGTTCAGTTCCCTCATAGCCTTCGGCTTTCTGTAAATCCTCAAAGCTAGTTCTCCTCCTCACTCCCTTAAATGTTAATAGAATAGAAAAACTGGGTGGGGGGGGTAAATTTATTAGTTATTCCTAATTCATTAAATGTTTTTACTCCAATGTGACACTAATGACTAAACTCTTTTAAACGTAGCATTTCAAGAATTTTGAAAGTGTATAAATCACTTTAAGCTTTCTTCAGATATGACCGTTTGAACCTTGAGACAGTTATTGACTGTACTTTCAGATATGTACGCATTTTTCAATACATGAACAATATTAGATATTTCTATGAGAGGTTAAAGGGTCACTGACTGAAACATTGATAAATACTTATTTAATTTAATGGAACTATAAATAGCAAATAGTACTTAAGACTACTGGCCACAATACTGAATACCATACTGCCTTTTGCGACTGTTTATTGAAGCTA